GATTTCTTCTATACCTTTCTGCAGTTGATTCTTTACTGTCAACGCTATTATTTCAGAGATATCTGGTGTGTGATTTCCAGTTTCCTCAGTGCTAGTGTTTTCTGTAATTGTAATGGATGGACTCAGGGCTTGAGACTGCATTTTGTTCCTTCTCTTTGTCATCTTGCATACCATTGTCTTCTGACTTTTGCTGTAGAGCTTAGATAGAATTATAACCTTAGCACCAGGTCTGGATCTACGAAGTTCAGATTCCTTCAGGTGGGTGTTGCTTGGATCTGGCTGGGGTCTGGCTGCTGTACTCCACTTCTTTCTGCTGCAGCCATTAGAGTTGAACCCTTTGTGTCTCTCTGGCAAGATGTTCTGCTCCTGACTCAGCTGGGTGGGTCTTGTCTCTAGCCTCTTTGCAGGGAGTTCTACTGAAGGGTTCCGGGCTGGACCTGCACTCTGGGTCGAATGAGGATCCGCGGGCACTGGGTGGTCGCACTCACATGCCAGGCCTGGGCTCTGGGTCTATTCAGGATCCTGTGGGCCCCGGGTCATCTCACTCACTCGCTGGGCCTGCGCTTTCCTCACAGTTTAAAGGAGACAGTAGTTTAAAAACTTTTTTTTCATCAAATCATTGAACTATGAAGAAAGCAATTATTTGTAAGAGTAAAAACTACATAAGAATGTCCTTTTTATTTCTTGTATTTTTCTGAGCCCTAGCACACACATCAGTCCAGGCAGCCTCTTTGCCTTATACCCGGTCATTCTGTGTTGATTGTAAATTATATATAATCACTTCTCTGAATGCCCATCAATATTCTGTAGCCAACACACCGGAGGTGACTGGGAAGATAATTAAGTGGCAAACAGGGGGTTCCTGCTGCAGGCCCATGGCACACACACTGCAAAGCAGATGGCTCATGTTGGTTTCCCTCCGTCTCCTACTGCTACTTCTGCTGGTTTCGTGGGAAGCTGGGCTCCCCTATCATCCTTGAACACACCAACCATTCCTAAGCTCGCCTCCAAAACAACTCTTGCTCTCTTCTGACCACATTATTTTCTTTGCTCTGGAAATTGGTAATCATGCGTTTTTCTTCTTGTTAAGGAAAAGCGTGGTTGATTTCCAGCTTATGAAAGAATGTTCCTTTATACAGAAAGATGCCAGTAAAAATATATGCAAGGAAATATTGAATTAGATAATGCCTATTTTACAATCCCTAATGACAAACTGGATTCTAAAGCCATTAGCCAAAAGGTTTTGGAGAAGCAATATGTCCTTAAAGTGTCCAAGTAGCACCTCACAGACCACTTAGGTCTTCATAATGGAGCCATCTGGTCATCACTATCTGATCCACTAGATGAAGTTTCTTGTCTTAATAGTGGAAAATCAGCACTCTGTGTCCTTAATGAGGTACAGTGGCATGCATGAAGCATTCTTGTTAAAACACATTATACTTGAGTTTAATCAAACATTTAGATCCAACTTCCAGTTTACAAAAAATTCAAGGAACAAAAAACAAATTAATTGCCACCAGCAAGAGAAAAACTAGGCAAATCTTGAAATGGACTCAGTCTGTGAAATAACTGACTTAATTTCTTCTACAATCAATGTCACTAAAATAAACACACCAGGAGGGATCATTTTAAATCAGAGCAAGTTATCACTTTGGTGCCTGATTAAATAAAACTCCCAGACTACACACAATGTCTTTGAGACAAACTGGAGAAATGTAAGTATTGACTAGGGTTAAGCACTGTCAGGAAGTTATTAATCTGATTGTGTGCGTCAATTAGCTTGTGTGTGTCAATTAGCAATATCGTCTCAGCTTCAAGTCCTTCCTGGATTCTTTGTGACTTTTCTCCGGGGCAGGAAGTGTGATGCTAAACTTTGTCAACAGAGGGCGCAGGAGGGACACTGCAGGAAGAAGGCTTTCTATTTGGGAAGGATGTGATTTTCTTTCTTATCCTCCCCGCTTCCTCCTCCTCCTCCTCGTGGTTGGCAGTGTATGAGAGTCTGGGGACATCTGGTGGTGCATTGCCTTAACTGCATGCCCAGAGGGCCCAGTGGACCCTTGAGAGCACATCAAGTGCCAACGGAGTTCTGATCTCTGCATTTCTTTCCTCCAGCCTTGGATACTGGAGCCCCTGGAAAGTTGTTTTCTGCTTGTCAGCTGACTGCAGACTTGGAACCGTGTCCAATGGTTGCAACCATACCTTTTTTTTTTTTTTTTTTTTTTTGGTGGAACTAGGGTTTGAACTCAGGCCCTTGCACTTGCCAGGGAAGCACTTATTCTACTGAGCCATCTCCCTGGCCCAGGACAGCTCAGCTTGAACCCCTTTTCCAAGATGGTCCTTTCCCTTTGCTCTCGTGTACACATTAGACGTGATTACATGATCTCTTCACATGGTTACAGTTGTTCTCCTGTTGTTGCTTTATAACTTTTCATATTAAATTTCTCCATTAAGTAACTGTACTTTCTGCCTCTTGATTAGAGTTGGACAGGTACAGTATGATGCTGGTATTTCCCCCCACCCCCTCACACAAAGAGAGAAAAGGTTGGCGGGCCTGCCAAATAGCTCAGCGGATTAAAGCACCTGCAAGCAGGCATAGGGGCCAGGGGTTCAATCCCTGGGCCTGCGGTGTTGGCCCCACCCCTAAGACAGCAAAAGAAACAGGGAATTGGGAACTGCTGTCATAGTGGACCCCGCTCTCCAGCGACCTCACGTCTCCCACTCTCATCAGTCCCCACTTCTGTTTCTATGTGGTTTTCATCCCTTGCCTCCTGGCCGCTCATCCTCTATGCCACCCCGGCCAGCTTGTCTCCCTGCAGGGCTACGGCCAGCCTCTGCCTCGCTCGCTTCACTCCCCGAGTCTGTCTCTGGAAGTCGGCAGGCAGCACAGAGCCGCTGGCTCAGAGGGAGGTGGAAGACAAAAGTCTTCTGGGATCATCTCTTTTCCAAAACGGAGACAGGCCAGGGGTGGGCTGCAAGCCCTCAACCCCAGCCGGCCCTGGGATCCACCTTGATTTCCTATAGTCAGTATTAAAAGGTGTTTTCAAAATCCAGCTGGTTTAAATGTTCTTTATTGGTGTCTTGGTGCTTGACTGCCTGCAGGCGCCATCTTGCACAGAGTGGCTGGGGCGTCTCCAGCTGGTCCTCACGTGGCTCACACCTGACCTCACTGTTGGGGTGGGCGGTAATGAAAGTGACCGGCCTCAGGTGGCTGCAGCCGGTCAGTCACATGGGGGAGAGCAAAGGGTACAGCAGCTGAGTGCTTGGCCTTGGGGCCCAGACATACGGTTTTCTATGCAAATGATCAATATATCTGTATCTCTATCTATCTATCTATCTATCTATCTATCTATCTATATCCCTATATATTATACATATGTGTGTACATATATGTGTATGTAAAGTAAATCTATGTCATACACAGTTTTAGTGTATGTATGCTGACAGTACTCATTCTTTCAACTTTCCTGTCAAATTAAAGTTTTTATTATTAAAAGTTGAAGGGAAATCCTTCCCTTTAATGTTCTTGCTTAGTGTGAAGAGGAGAGAAACCTCTGATTGGAATACTTCATTCTCTGCAGGAGTGTTTCGAAGACCCCCTCCAGGTTCCCGACCCTGGCTTTGACCCAGAGTGGCCGGAGAGGCTTTTAAAATGACAGCTGCTCAAGGCCGTTAGAAAATTTTGTGAATTAGAGTCTCTAGGATCCTGTTGTTTGAGGAAATAAAATCCTTCAACACCCTCTGTCAGGCCGATGTTTCCCACACCCACCTTTCATCAGTGTGACAGTTTGTGCTGTGAAAACTATATGTATTGCAACTTTTCTTCCTTCTTTCCTTCCTTTTTGCCTCCCTCCCTCCCTCATTCATTCATTTATTCATTCTTCATTCATGCATTCATTCTTCATTCATGCATTCATTCAGTATTATAGTGGGCTCTTTGAATTCTCCTCACCGGTTTTCACAGCTTTGCTGCTAATGACTGGTATGCATTTTCTTCTTTAGAGGATTTTAAAGGGAAGAGCACCTGAAAGTTTGATTCTTCCACGGCAACCAAAGATGGCCTGGGGAGGGAGTAAGAAGGCTCCCTGGACTCTGGGTGGCGTTAACTCATTCCCACATTTACTATTGCCTTGGAGTCTGTTTTAGAGAACCTAAGACAGATGTTTGCCTTCATTATAAAAAAACATTTACGGTGCGACCTGGGGCGGCCGAGTGAGGGCGGCTCGGCTCTGCGGTGGCTCTGCGGCTGTGCGGTGCGGCGCGGCCCAGCCATGCCGTCCCGAGTGGAGGACTACGAGGTGCTGTACACCATTGGCACGGGCTCCTACGGCCGCTGCCAGAAGATCCGGAGGAAGGGCGACGGCAAGATACTAGTTTGGAAGGAACTTGACTATGGCTCCATGACAGAGGCCGAGAAACAGATGCTTGTTTCTGAAGTGAATCTGCTCCGTGAACTGAAACATCCGAACATTGTCCGCTACTATGATCGATTTATTGACAGAACCAACACAACCCTGTACATTGTGATGGAATATTGTGAAGGAGGGGACCTGGCTAGTGTAATTACCAAGGGAACTAAGGAAAGACAATACTTAGATGAAGAGTTTGTTCTTCGAGTGATGACGCAGTTGACCCTGGCTCTGAAGGAATGTCACAGGCGACGTGATGGAGGACATACTGTGCTGCATCGAGATTTGAAACCCGCCAATGTTTTCTTGGATGGCAAGCAAAATGTCAAGCTCGGAGACTTTGGGCTAGCGAGAATATTAAACCATGACACAAGTTTTGCACAAACATTTGTTGGCACACCTTACTACATGTCTCCTGAACAAATGAACCGCATGTCCTATAATGAGAAGTCAGATATCTGGTCCCTGGGCTGCCTGCTGTATGAACTGTGCGTGCTAATGCCTCCATTTACAGCTTTTAACCAAAAAGAACTGGCTGGGAAGATCCGGGAAGGCAAATTCCGGCGGATTCCTTACCGCTTCTCTGATGAGCTGAATGACCTTATTACGAGGATGTTAAATTTAAAGGACTATCAGCGGCCTTCCGTGGAGGACATTCTTGAGAACCCTTTGATAGCCGACTTGGTCTCCGAGGAGCAGAGAGGGCAGCCAGAGCGGCGAGGGTGCAGGGCGGCGAGTGCGGAAGAGCCCGAGAAGCCAGGAGACCCCGGCCCCCTGCTGAGCGAGCTGCGGCTGAAGGAGCTGCAGCTACAGGAGCGAGAGCGGGCGCTCCGGGCCCGGGAGGACAGGCTGGAGCAGAAGGAGCGAGAGCTGTGCGTGCGGAAGAGGCTGGCGGAAGACAAGCTGGCCCGTGCTGAGGGGCTGCTCAAGAGCTGCGGGCTGCTGAGGGAGCAGAGGCTGCTGGCCCTGGCCAGCTCTCCAGAACTTCTTGATCTGCCATCCTCAACAATTAAGAAGAAGGTTCACTTCAGCAGGGAGAGCAAAGAGAACACGGCGAGGAGCGACAACTTGGAGAGCCAGCCTACTGCCAAGTCCAAGTGCAAGGACCTGAAGAAGAGGCTTCATGCTGCGCAGCTGCGAGCACAGGCTCTGTCGGACCTGGAGAAGAACTACCAGCTCAAGAGCAGGCAGATATTGGGCATGCGCTAGCCTGGGAGTCGCGGGGCCGCCTGGGAGCCGCAGGGGCCTCTGGGAGCCGCGGAGGCTGACTGGGAGCCGCAGGGGTGCCTAGGAGCTGCAGGGGTGCCCGGGATGCGTGGGGGCCGCCTGGGCGCCACAGGCCCTGCAGCATTCAGTGTTGCCGCCCTTTGCAGTTGGTACTCACTGCTGTAGCTTTCCATCCCTGGTTCCTGCGCAGCACCTTTCTGTGTGGTGAGCTTGATATTTCAGTTTCAGAAAACTGCTTACGCTGTTTTCAGTAACCGTTGTACCAGATGTATAAATTTTAAATTTTGCCTCCTTTTAAGAACACTTTATGGAAGGAGTGATGTTTCCTGGACCATTTGGGCTCTTGATCCTGTGTGTGGTTACTAGTAGGAATAGGAGAACTGACATTCTAGATGTTGGGGAAAAATAATGTTAGGGAAAAATATTCTTGCAGGAGCAGCTCTTGGAAAGTTTTACATGGCCGAGTCATGTGTTTGCAGCTGTCCTGTCTAGCTTTAAAGTCGGAGTCTCGGGTTTGAAATGTTCTTTAATTTCTTTAGGAAACTAGGTTGCGTATAAATTGATCACTAACCCCATCTTGTCTAGCCTGTAAATACTCCAGTGCAGTGCAAATCTGTGAGTGTGGTGGGAATTGGTCACTGTGTCATCTGTATTTTTGTATCCCTTGTTACTCTTGAGCAGCGTCTAAGCTGGCTGTCATTTCCCTCCCTGTCTCCCACTAAATAAAGGTTTTCCTATATTCCTCAAAAAAAAAAAAAAAAAAAAAAAAATTTACTACCTGCTAGGTGCCAAGCCTCACTGTAGATGCTTATGGTACACCCCTTGTCTTTAAAAGCGTTCCTTCTAGGGACCGACAGAGAAGCCATTCACACGTGATGATAACAAATGCTATAGCTAAATAAAAAGCAGGTTGTTGGGGATAGAGTGAGGGTGGTGACGGCGTTTGATGTAAGATACTCAGGGAAAGTCTTTTAAAAGGTGACATTTGATCTGTATGGGAGTTCTGACCTGAGCCAGTTCACCCTCTTCAGGCAACCTGGTGGTTCCCTGCTCCAGGGAGGTCAGTGTATTAATGCTGAATGTAGTGCAGACACCTGATCAGCATACTGCACTGTAGCCCAGAATGCTTAGACTCAAGCGACCCTCCTACATCAGCTTCCTGAGTGCCGGGACTACAGGCACATCCCCACACCCAGCAGAAGATGACCTCTGATCAGAGGTCTTGGTTGGAGTACGAGATGGGGGCATTTGGACATCAGGGGTGTGGGAACAGACTATGTAAAGATCCCTGGCCAGGAATGTTCTCAGTGTGGTCGGAAATGAGAAGGGGCCAGTGTGGTTGGCATAGGATGTAGAAGGGAGAGTGAGGGAGACCAAATCTAGGGCTGGGAAAGGAGGAGCTGGAGTCAGTTCCTCCAGGTGTCAGATGCCTCATGTTCTGCTTCCCTACAGTGAGTATAACTTTTCCTCTGAATGGTATGGGAACACCTTGCAGTTTGAGCAGAAGAGTAGAGTAATTGGAAGTTGCTCGGCCTAGCATTGAACTTCCAATCCTCCTGCTTAGCCTCCTGAGTAGCTGGGAGGACAGGCTTGGGCCACCTTGCCTGGCTTGGTTTTCACTTCAAAAGATGATCTTGGTTGCTGTGCTGAGAACAAATTGTAAGGAATAGGGGAGGAAGCAGGGAGAAGGTAATGAAAAGGTGGCTGAGCAAGAATCCTCACAGTGACAGTGTCTGGAGTGGACATAGGTGGTCATGTTCTGGATATGCGATGTCAAGGCATATCTTAGGGTTGGTGCTGTGGGGAAAGATATCAGGTTTTTTTTTTTTTTTTAATTTTAGTATTTGGTACAGGGTCTCACTATGCACCTTAGGCTCATAGCGATCTTACTGTTTTCAGGCTCCCCAGCTCTGGGATTATAGGCATGCGCCACCATGCCAGGACTCTTGTTGCTGGCTCAGGATACCCCAGGGGTGGGTCCAGTGTGGCATGCTGGACTGGGGATCTAATCTTGGTCCCTGCGCTTGCCAAAGCAGGCACTTAGTCCACTGAGCTGTCTCGCTAGCCCTTAAGGCATCACTTTAGATACTAGTCTTTTTTTTTTTTCCCTGAGTAACTGGAAGAATGAGAGAATGAGGCCTGAAGGGAAGGCCACTATGGTCCCCTTATTCTGTGATCCAAACTCATAGCATTCTTTAAAAAAAAAAATCAACCTTCAGGTGACTCTGCTGTAATGTGAAGGTAGGCTGTGTACAGAAAAAGATTGATTTGCCTACACAAACATCTTAGAACTTCCATGCATGTGAAAAATTTGCAGAATAAATAGAAACTTTAAAAAGCACTTAAAACCTACTTGAGTGATTTGCATTGTACAGGTTACTTCCCTGACAAATTAATGAAAAATGAACAAGTCAGTGAACACTTACAAATTTAAGAGAAAAAAATGGGATCAAAAACAAATGGCAGTTGAGATGTATACATGTAAAAAGGCAAAAGCTTACAATGAAATAAATACGAAATAAAACTGACATATTTTTTTTTATTTTTTTTTAAACTTTTTAAAAAAATTTTATTTATTTGTGTGTGTGTGTGTGTGTGTGTGTGTGTGGCCAGCTCAGCCCACCAGGGGGCGGGGCTGGCTGGCATGTTGTGCTGCGGGATTGAACCGCGGTCCCCGTGCTTTGCTAAGCTTGTTCTAAGTAGGCGCTTTAGACCACTGAGCCATCTCACCAGCCCCCTTTTTTTTCCTTATGAAGATTTTAAGATTTCACTATACTTGCTGTTGGTGAAAACTCAGAGAAACAAAATATTTCAACCTTGAAGTTCAGAAATGTTCAGTCCTTCTGTGACAACAAGATAATGTGTCAATAGTTATGTTTTTAACTTCTTTACTTGCCTTAGGAATTTAGGGGACAATACAGTTGACCCTTGTATCTGTGGATTCTGCATCCACAGATTGAGCCAAATTTGTATTAATGATATAAAAACTGAGTCTGTATTAAAGATATGCAGACCTTTCTTCTTGGCATTATTGCCTAAGCAACATGTATTACAGCAATTTACATGGTTGAAATATGGCTGGGAATAAAAGTGATCTAGAGGTGGTTTATACAAGAGAAAATGTATACATTATAGGACAATACTATGGCTTTCTATTTTAGGGACTTGAACATCCTCAGATTTTGGTTCCACAGGGGCTGCTGGGACACATCCTCGATGAATACTGAAGCACAAGTGCACGAAATATGGCAAAAATTAGGATGAATCTAAAGAACAAAATTTAAGTATTCATAAGAATCAAATCTGTAAAATATATTGTGTAGAATATATATGAGCAGAAAAAGATGTAGCAAATAGTTTGCAAATTGCCTGCGGTGAGTTTGGAGGATTATGGAGCATTTTTAGTTGCTTCTTAGAACTTTTTGGTGTTTTCAGGACATTTGTTTTCTTTTATCAGAAAAAAAATCCAAGGAGCTGGGAAGATGGCTCAGTAGAATAAGCGCTTGCCTGGCAAGTACGAGGGGCTGAGTTCAATCCCCAGTTTGGCAAAAAAAAAAAAAAAAAAAAAAAAAAAAACATCATAAATATGAGGAAAGTAAATAACAAACTCCTAAACAGCCCATGGGTCACAGATGAAATTAAAGAAGAAATAAAAAAAAAAAAAAAAATCCTGTAATAGACATTCTTAAGAAAAGAATCATCCTTCCTTTTTTCTCGTGCCTTTTGTTCAGCTTAACCCCTCACCTACTTTAGGGCTGGGTGGGTTTGCTCATTGGGATTGAGTGCCTTTCACTTGACCTTACAGAACTCCTTTCCTAATGTAGTCAGACTTTTTTGACTTCGGCTACAGAAGATGTTTCATTACTCTTTATCTAGTGTCCAGTATAGAAGCTCAAAAGACTGAATGGTGCTTTCTGGGACTCCCTTACATGCAGGGTGTGGGCTCTACCAATCAGACACGTCTGTACCGGGCTTTGGCTTAGAAGGTGAAGCAACAGGAAAGCAGCGATCACAAGGAACCCATTGGTGGGGCGAGCTCTGGCCAAAGTAAATCTAGTTCTCAGAGAAAGCAGCAGTGGTACCAGGGGTGGTGGGGTCCTTGTGATGTCCCTGGTGGCATCCATGGCATTTCCAGCACCAGTATCCGGAATGCTTGCTGTTGGTAGTGTGGGCCAAATAAGGGGTGCAGCAGCCACAGCACTGTTTTTTTTTCTCAACAGAGTTCAGTGTGGTGGGATTGAGAATTCTCTTTCTGGCAGTGTGGTTTCTGAGTTGGATTCTCTAGCCCTGCTGGAGATTGTGTGAGCCACTAATTATCCTTTAATGAATTCTTTTTCTATACATATTAGCTTGAGTTGATTAACGTGCTCTGCAAATAAAATACCTAATGGACACATGTAACTCCCACTTTTTGATATCACCTTTCTCAGAACTTCATCGCTTGATGTCATTTTCTTGCATGCCCAGCTGTAGGGAGGTTACTTCCCTGCCCAATAAAGGATGATGGCTTCTCCTACTGCTCCTAAGCTGTATTTCTCGAGGCCCGATCAGCACCCACTTAAGCTCGCCAATGCTATTAGCTGGCTTCCAGTATCACTTGGGTACCCACCTCCTTGTTTTTATTCTCAAAAACCTCTATGTTCCCATTGGTACCTCACGCGACTTTTCTCAAATTAACCTTAGTTAGGAAATGGTTTTGAGTAAAAAGAGAAGAGACTGAGATGGGAGGGACAGATCGTCCTTTGAAAAGTAATGAATTAGTCCATCTATAAGCTAATGCTCCTCGTTGGTACCATTGTTGTAGCTCTAACCAATCAAGCTAAAACTAGAGAAAAAATGCCTAGAAGGGGAATTTAGAAACTTGACTGGCAGTAAAAAGGTGGGCATGTTGGCATTTAACAACTAAGTTCCCAATCAGTATCAAAGAGAGATGTATTAGTACGTGCAACAATACTACTGTAAGGGTTTAAGCCAGTCATTATAAAAATGAAGATCAATACCATCTGTTCTTTTATAATACTCTGTAATTTTAGCAATAAATCCCTGAGAAACTTCAGGTGCAACCTATATGTTATTTGGGAGCTGCGGAATAAATTTCAAGAACATTCTGTCTTGTAGTGAAAGAGAGAAACAAGAAAAAAACCAGTGAAGATGAAATGGACTATTTAGGTAAACAGGGAATTAGCCTCAATTTGAGAGGGGTAACCTGCAGTATGTACATAAGAAAGGACATTGTGGATCCCGACTGTCCTTCCTGCCAGTCACTGGGATGTTCCCTCTGTGGACTTGTAAAAACCTTGTTCTGGCCTTATCTTCTATAAATTCAAATTACATATCCTGAACCTTTTTTCTTTCTTTAGAAAATTTTGATGATAACTTTGAATCCCTTGATTCTTCTGTTTTCTCCCTAGTTTGCCTTGGTGTTTATAGATTTCCTCTACCAAAACTTGTCTGGAAGGTTTGTTGTTTTGGAGCTAGTTAAATTAGCAATTGTCCAATTCCTGTTTACCCAGACTGAATGTCATCCTTGATTGTTCCT